GGAACATAGTGAACTGCTCATCACGCCCAGTTTGTATTGTGTGTGTTTACAGCTCTACAACCCTAAGCATTTTTCCTTGCACATAAAGCTGTTGTTCAATAAATAGCGTCCACCTACTCTTCCGAGTTCACACACACACACACACACACACACACACACACACACACACACACACACACACACACACACAGTGGTGGTCAGGCAGCCTTGGTGGGCAGAAGTGGTGTATGGGAAGCTCTTGGGAAGCTAGTGAATTGGGAGGGATAATCAGTGTATATGTGAATATGAGTGTATATGAGCGATTGAATAACTAGTAAGCTCACTCAAACCACAAGAAAGTGAAGAAAAAAGGTAGAAATAGGACCATTGAAAATAAGTGTTGAGTACATGGTGGCATTGTGGAATTGTGGAGCCGACTAGCGTGGAGGTGACCTCACTAGTTGTGACGCCGGGACCTCAAACCTGGCGAGCGGCGTGGAGTACTTTCTCGCCTTTTGTGCTGCAGATTGTGCAAGGTGTTGTGGAGCGCCTTTTAGGCTAGGTTTGTTACTGCAATGACAAGATCAGGAAGGGCTTCAAGGTCAATCACCAGCAGGGACGAGGAGGAGGACAGATTTATAGACAAATTAATTGGTAAATTTGTAATAAATCCTCTCCTATGTTGGAATCTGTGGAAATGAACGAGCTCATGTGCAGGCTGCAGAAGGAGACCATACTTCATACTTCATACTCAAGACTGCTTCAAATTAGAAGTATTACCAGGCAACATCACCGTTACAAGGTAATTAAGGAAAGGAGAATAGAAGCACAAATCTGTGAATCTGAACGTTGGTACAATGCATCTGCAGCTGGCAATCACAGTCATTATGGACGAAGCGGTGGTGGCTGCGGGAGAGAATCAGTAATAGCAAGAATTCGTCTTGGCTACAAATACCCATGGAAATTCTGGATGGAAACTACAGATGAGCAGCGGAGTTGCAGCATCTGTGGTGAGAGTGATGGAAACCGCTTTGTCTACTACCTGAGAGAATGTGAACATAGGAGAGACACTAGAAATGTGTAGAGTATTAAATCTCACATTGTTTGAGTTAAAAAAAAATACTA